CCTGAAGTGATTTCCTAATATTTAATAGTGGCATTGGTAGCACTCTAATAATGTATTTACATAAGTAGATCACGAGGCCATCTTCTTTTCAGACGCCTCGGAGGGTTATCAGGGATCGAGGAGGAAGCAAGGTTTGAAACGATAGGGTTTGGGTGGTTCTGGACGGATAGGTATCTGGATTGGCCCAAATCGGAAACATGGAACAATAAGGTCTTTAAGGATGATTTTATTTGTGACAAAGTAAGGAGCGTTGAGGATTTTACGAAGGATTTTGGATTGTAAGGATTGGATACAAGAGGAATTCGATGGTTTAGTGGAACCTCAAAGCTCAATTCCGTAATTCGTAATATTTTGTTTGTCGAGGTGGAGTCCTAGGTAACAGATTTGTTCAACTGGAATAAGTGGGGAATTATTAAAGAATACTGTAGGACAGGAGGTCATGGGTTTGCGAAGCAGGGTAAAGATAATTTGATGGGATTTATTTTAATTCTCCAGTTTTTACACCATTCTTCAACGTTTGTGATATGTGATTGTAGAGTTTGGGATGCAGTTTTTACGGATTTTGTACATCAGTGCAGGGTGCCAGACCCTATCAAACGCCGAGAAAGACTCCCGTGCTGTACAATCCGTGCTCCAATGCAGAGGAGACTACGTCCACCACACGATGTCATTGCTGGATAGTGGAATGAGATGTGTGGAATCCAAATTGGCGTTTACTATATTTTAATCTGGGAAGAAGAGAAGAAGTTAAAACAAGCTGCAGCTGCTTCAGGTGGAAGAATGGAGAAAAAGAAAAGTGTGAGCTTGTGCACACAAACAAGTCTACAGCTCATAAATGATAATGTTGACAAAATTTTAATTAAATAGACCTATACTGCATACTACGTAATACCCCATTGCTGCTCAACCCGTATTGCCTGCAAGGAAAGGCAGAGAGAAGAAAAAAAAAATAATAAAAGCTCTACCTTCGGTAGTGAAGTAGCAAAAAGACAAAAAATTCTTTATTTCCACCCGTATACGAATTCTCTATAATGTGGGTAATTCTCCCTGCTCATTAGCTGGAGGAACATGCTCTCTGTCAGCGTATGTATCCCTGTCTTCCTCAGAAGCTTAGCTCTTAGTGTCTCATACGCAGTGCATTCGACGACCACATGTTCGCCGGTCTCCAGAACGTTGCAGTTGGAGCATAGCGGATCAATATTCTTTATCCCGTATTTAACGAGCTTCGCTCGGAAGCCCCCATGCTCCGTGAGGAATTGAGACACCGGAAGGACCCATCTTGCATCTTATCGTGACTTTACTTGGGGAAGTACTTTGTTAGGGTAGTAGTACCTTCGGAGTTGCCGTTTTCAACTAATACAAACATTTCTTTAGTTATATTCATCACTGATTCACAAAACCTAATGGCTTAGAATATTTAAATTACCATAACTTTAGACTCATAAAAGGTAAGAGATAAATTAGTGATATCATAAAAGATAAATTAGTGGGAGTTATATGCATTTAAAGGATAAACTATATTCTACAAGTTTTAGACAATTTTCTTGTAGAATGAAAGGCTGCGGACGAAAAGACGAATTCGACAACAAAAAAAAGTGTGTGCGAAAATACATTTTTCGTAAATTTTCAATTTAAGTTAATGAATATCTCGAAAGCTATAACAGATACGAAAGAAATTAATACAAACTTTCTTGAAGGAAATGTTATCAGCTTTAATTTTTGAAGTGAAAACTTCTTTAGGCGCGTTTCGTACTTTTTTGTTGGTAATGAATTAGATCGATCCGTCAGATTTCCAAAGTGTTAATGCTCGGTTAAAATCGGCTGGAGTTGCCTAATTGAAATGTTTTTACATATGGATTAAATATCTCAGAAACTAAAAATTGGGCCTGCATACTGTAAGCGGGAAATTGTTCAGCATTTCATCTTCTCTGTAAGAGGCTATAATTCAAAATCGTATCTTGACGCGACACCGTGTTAGGGAGGCGAAAAGAAAAAATAGTGTCGAAAACCAAATGATAACGAGTTTAGTTGAACATATGGATTAAAATATTTCAGATACTAAAAATCGGAGCTGTATACTGTAAGCGAGGGAAATGTTCAGCATTTCATCTTCTTTGTAATGAGCTATTATTCAAAATTGTATCTTAACGCGACGCCGTGTTAGAGAGGCGAAAAGGGAAAAATGGTTTTGAAAACCAAATGACTAGTTGTATTGGAGATATGGATTATAATATCTCAGAAACTAAAAATTGGATTTGCATACTGTAAGCGAAGGAAATGTTCAGCATTTCATCTTCTTCATATAATTTACTTTTCATATTATTAATCTCGCTTTATTAATTTCACTTCTATCGTGTAGTCTAAAGAACTAACAGACCCAGGAATTATTTTTTGAGGGGGCTTCAGCCTGAAAGATTTTTTTTTCAAATATATAACGATAATTAATTTGAAAAAAAAAAAAGAAGAAAGAAATTAACTACCTATATGAAATGGTGTTTAAGTGACTCTTGAAGTCCTATTAAATATAATTACACGAATAATAATACTGTAAGAGATAGTTTTAATATTTTTTTTATAAAACATGGTTATATTTACCGTTTTGGGGAGGGAGAGGGCTTCTGCCCAAAAGCCTCTCCCCCTCTCCTCTCGTAGATCCGCCTGTGGTCTAAAGTTTTTTTTTTGTTCAGCTATGTTTTGTCTGTGACATCTTCTTTTTTAAAATATATGAGAAAATTTGGAAAAAGTGACCTTTACCTCTCTCTCTCTCTCTCTCTCTCTCTCTCTCTCTCTCTCTCTCTCTCTCTCTCTCTCTCTCTCTCTCTCTCTCTCTCTCTCTCTCTCTCTCATCTCTCTCTCTCTCTCTCTCTCTCTCTCTCTCTCTCTCTCTCTCTCTCTCTCTCTCTCTCTCTCTCTCTCTCTCTCTCTCTCTCTCTCTCTCTCTCTCTCTCTCTCTCTCTCTCTCTCTCTCTCTCTCTCTCTCTCTCTCTCTCTCTCTCTCTCTCTCTCTCTTAGTATGTTTACCTCCTAAGTAACCCTAACAAATTCCCAAAGACTAATGCTTGTCCATCCTCCATGCACTCTATAAGTACCTTTATACCATTCATTTGCTGGATTACTAGATCAATCTATTTAAACCATTTAATTTAAGTAAGAACTGTATGTACTATGCTCTAAAAAATAAAGGAACTTAATCTCTCACTTTGCATATTTTTTTAATCACTAATTTCTTTTTTTTGAAAGTGATAGTAGATAGTAGGTCGGAGAAAGTAAAATTTCAAGTTTGCAATGCATCCTTCATGCCAAACTTTATCGAAGGCTTGACTAATGTCAAGAAAACTCCAGGACAATAATTTTTAGATCCTAAAGAATTAGAAATATAATCTACCAATCGATGGCATTGTTGAACAGTTGAATGGTGCTTTCTGAAGCCGAATTGATGATTTGGAACAAACTTAAAAATATCGAGGTAATCAAGGTGACAAAGAATAATTTTTCAAATAATTTAGAAAAGGAAGGAAGAAGGCTGATCGAACAACAGGAATTTGGAGAGTCTGAGGATTTATTAGGTTTTGAGACCATGACAACTTCAGAATATTTCCAGCGGGTGAGGAAATGTGTGATTCTCAAAACAGAATTGTATAATTTTTTTAGAAAAAGAATTAGCTTTCCAAGGTAAATTTTGTATCACGAAATTCGTAATTAAGTCAAATCCCGGAGCTTTGTTCATAGCCAAGCTCTAAATTAAATTTTTAACTTCGTAAGGATGAATTGATTTTGGTGGTAATGTCATAGGTAATTGTACGTTAAGTGGACTTTGAACAATTGTAGTAGAGAGTTTGTCATTATGAGGTTTAAATGTTTCTTCGAGGTGGCTAGCAAACAATTGCGCTTTTTGAGCATCTGATTTTGCCCAGTCTATCTAATATTACTTTCATATCTAACAGATAGACATTTTGTAGTAAAAGTAGGGACAGAACGTTCTGACATTAAAAGCAGGAGTACCTCAGGGTAGTGTCCTAGGACCAATATTGTTTAATATATATATGTCTGACCTACCGGCACACAATAACACAATACTGGCTTCTTTTACAGACGATACCGCAATCCTAAGCTCAGATAAAAATCCTGTTCGAACATTTATCTCTCTTCAAAATCATCTGAACGATATTACAGATTGGGCCACAAGATGGAAAATTAAGATGAATAAAAAAAAAAAAAGTGTGCATGTAGTATTCACTCTTAACCATAAACCTTCTCCTGAAATATATTTTAATAACATTAAAATCCCAACATCAGATGTAATTAGGTATTTAGGTTTTTACCTGGACAAAAGACTTACTTGGAGGACTCACATTAGACAAAAACGAATAGAATTAAACAGACGATGCGTTCTTTTATCCAGATTACTTGACAGACCTTCAAAATTAGTTTTAATTAACAAACATTTATAAAGTTTTACTTAAACCTATCTGGACTAACGGCACAGAACTGTGGGGTTCTGCTAAAACTTCCAACATTAAAAAAATTCAGTCCTTTCAGTCAAAAGTGTTGCGAAGGATAGTTGACAGCACCGTTTTATGTCGCAAATAATACACTACATAAAGACATAAACGTACCTACAATTTTAGATGCTGCAAAAGAAAACTACAATAACTTTCACCAAAGACTGACGTACAACATGAATCCTCTGATAGAAATCCTTCAACGTACAAGAAACCCGTACAGCCCATATGACGATTACATTGGCGTTAGCCAAGAGAGCTGCTTATTGGTTTACAGACCTGATGGGAACCTGTGAAGCTGCCAAAAAAATTACAGATTGCAAATTTAATCTAATGTTCTACATTTTTGTTTGGATTATAAATAAATAAATTTTATTTTTTTGTTGGGATACATTATCCAGATTTTACCATTAATATTAGTCCTATTTTCTTCAATATTAATAATTATAATGTTAAACTTGTAATATGAGATTATTGGACAGTACAAGTGATACTTACAAAGAATTCTATGTTCTATTCGTTCATCGCTATTATAAGTGATGGATGGAAGAAGAGTATGAAGTAGAGCGTAATGTGGTAATTCAAACAGTTCATTATCGGGTTTCAGAAAGGGAATTGTTGTTCTCAATTTTAAATTAATTAAGCTTTTGGGTATTCTTCGGTGTAAAAGTGATCTGAAAAAATATAAACAATCTGGATGGTGATGTTTTAGCCAAACTTTTTCTGAGTTTAATGTAGTATATCTCACTGTACTCATTTTCACCCTAAATTCCATTTTTTGATTTTCAGCAAAGTCGTTGTCTGTCACAACTTGTTTTCTTTTAATTACTGAATAATAGTCATTCTCAATACTTTTTGCATCTCGTGAAAGTAATGATTCTACGTCTATTATTTGATCAATATTTTTTTTAGCAGAATCCTTTTTACATTTCTTTGATGTGCACTTTGGTTTCTCTTGAGATTCTGAGTTAAAAATCGCACCAGTAATTGGTTTAATGCCATCTTTTTGTAGATCAGGATGTAATTTATTTAACAGAAGATCCAGTTCTTGAGTTGAAGGCGAATACGGTATTCCTAATTTGTTTTTGGAATTTGTTAGTAAATGGGTTCCTGTTCCAGTAGTAGTCTTGGTGTGACCTTTATCCATGTCTTCCTCTTGTTCAGCAGAATCTTTTGTATATTTCGAAAATATACATGATACGATTTCATCGACATTTGAATATTGAGTAATTCCCAAAAGTCCTTTCTTTGTTGGTGGATGGTTTTGTTTTCTATTATCGCTTGGTGCACTAGCTGGTCTTTTAATTTCTACATTATTTGGAAGAAAATTCGTTTGGACATATGGAACATCTTTGTAAATTCCTTCTTGGTATTGTTTGAAGGCTTCGATTTCTTTCTTGTACGGTTCTCTCAAGTTTAACTGTTTGATCATGTTTTCAGTTTGATTCATTGCATCTTCGGAATCTCTTTCACTATACTCAGAAGAATCTGAATTTTTCAAACAAGAACCTGATTGGCAGAAAGAAGAGACCTGATCTGATGAACGAGATTTAGGAATTTTTACAAGCTCCTTTTCTGGTTTTGGGTCTGGGCCACTGTCAACAAGGGGAAATTTCTTTTTTTCATCTATATTGACGTTTTCAAACATTTTTTCACCTAATTCTACTAAAAATTCTTCCTTAACTGACGAATCCAAAACAACCGGTCTACTATGTTTGGCCATTGACATTTTATTGATCAAGTGTTTTATATCTGTTTTCAATCGTTCATAGGATTCGCTGATACCCATTTTCTTATAGTAGCATTTTTCTCTTTGTTTTATTTTAAAAATAGCCTTGTTCCAAACATTACATTCAGAAACTGAACTGACATTTGAAGCTTTGCATTGCTTTTCCATTAAATATAATTGTAGTTTTCTATGATTCATGCCTCTAAAATTGATTAGTTGAGCAGTAATTTCCGGTTTTTCTTCTGGAATTTTTTCTTTCGGTGGCTTAAAATAGTAAGTGGTATCACTTGTTTCAGAACCCGACGTTTCACACAGCTCTTGCATTAATTCGCTTGTTATGCTCAGCTCATCTTCTTTTATATAACTTCTAATTTTCTCCGACTTTACTTTTTTTATTTCTTTGAAAAAAGTTGTTTGATCTGTTAACCCGTCAATTTTGTAATCAATGCATATATGTTCGTTTTCAATTAAATCATCTTTGTCTAATTCAGATTCGTCAGAACTTTTAGCTAATTCAGTTGAACTAGGGACGAATGCCCCATCTTCAATTTCTCGAAAACATTCACTGATATCGTCTAAATAATACTCGTCAGTATATATTGATTCAGTTTCCGATACTGTGCTTATTTCTTTATCTGATTCTTCTGAAATTAAATTATTGGTTACTGATACATCACCTGATATGTTGGATAATGACTTACACAATTCAAGTAAGTTTTCTTCTGACAATTCTGCAGTCTTGGCCGGTGCTGATTCTCTTTCGTAATACACTCTTTCGGACGGTTTGTGAATCAACCAATCATTTGATTTTATACTACTAACTCTTTGACTTGGTTTTACTGGTTCTTCTGAGAAGGGTAGAGAAGGAAGGATAAATAATTCTTCAAAACCTTCACGGCATTTGAGAAGAAATTCTTTTTTTTTCGTGTCTTCTTGCTTTTTAATGTTGGCAAGTACTCTGTCTCCTTCAGTCATTTCTATTTTTCTAACAGTTAAATTTCGCTGTCTACTTTCTTCCCACCTATTGATTCTTTCAATTCTTTTTTCTTCATCTTCTTCCTCAATTTTGTCACCATTTTCGCTTGGCATTTTTTGTGGTGATTCATGTCTAATTTTTTTTCTTCTTCCAGAATACCGGTATAGAATATTGTAACAAGCTTCTTTATTAGCTTTCTTTAGTGATCTTCTTTTTGCCTTGATTTCTTGAATCTTTTTCATGAAGTTATAGGCCATGTCATCTGTGGATTCCATGTAACCCTTTTTGTTTTGTTGGATTGTCCTTTTTTTGGAACCTTTGGCTAATGCGAATACTTTCTTTTTCATTATTCTTTTGAATTTATCTAATTTTTCACCTCCAATTTTAACATCTCTGGGTTTTTTATCGCCAATAGATTGTATGTAATTTTTATGTATCTCTATTGCTGCTGAAAGTACTTTAGCGGCTTCTAAAGTGCGCTCGTCTGGTTCCTCGTCGGCCACTACCCTTTCCCGCCTGCTGATCGCAGTACTTGACCGCTTCCTTACACAACTAATTTTGCTCATTCTTGAGAAGGTCATGCTTGTGTATGATGTATCAGACCGTGTATCATCCGAAGAGCTGTAATTTACTGCTGGGACATAGTCGCTGATTCCAGCCATTACCTTCAGTAAGTTTTTATCAATAACTCCACTGTAAAGTTCATTGGTATTAATAGATTTTAGGTATTTCTTCAACATATCATAAACGATGAAGAAACTCCGTTGCTTGTAATAACCTTCATGTTCTTTAGTTAAAACTTCAAATTTTTCTCTGTCGCCAAACTTTCCAAAAACGGTTTCTAGTAAATATGTAATATAGTTACGAAAATTTTTCATGCTTTCCGAACCCCACTTGTGGACGTATTGCCTCAACTTTTCTTTTAAATTTCTTAATTTTTTTCGTCGACCCCGAGATATTCTTTTGCCAGCTCTTCTTCTCTTTTGTGTTTTATTAATCTCTTTTACTATAGAAAATGGTTCAACATTAAAGAAATTTTCGAGATATTCATACCAATGAAAATTCTGGTCAAAGGTCGCCTGAGGTTCGGGCATCTTAAATACTATTCTTATTTTTTTCTTAGTAACGCTTCGTAACAGCTAACATTAAATAATCCGTCCAATGTGTATTTATTTTTATCGACCAAATATATACAGTTTAAAGCAACAATAAACAAAAAATATGACTATTTGATCGTTATTTATCAATAACATCTTTTAAATATATTATAAAACTCATATTGTTTCATTCATTATAACAATAAGACTGGTAACTATTATAATTTCCATATCCTAATCAATACAGTACTACCATTTTAACGCGCTTTACGTGTAAGGGGAAAATTTATGACGAATTATGGCGAAAAAAGTAACGCTTGAAATAGCTATACGCAGGTTAATGAACTGGAAGCACTAGGCTGTTTCTTGTAGCGAAAGACTGTCTCCAAATAGACGGTCTTCTCTCACTGCTTCAAATTCAGGCTTCCATTCTCGAATTTCTTGATATTTCTCAATAGGCTTATATGTGTTGATAATTTTAGAATTCTGGATCATACTCAGAGCCAAGGAGAAAAAAAAAGTCAAAGGATATAATCAAAATCAGTCGGTATATAATACGTTCAAGTACAAAGAGAAAAATAAATAATTTCAATATGTCATCACACAATTCGATAAGTATTGATCAGATAAGAGCAGTCTATTTGAAAGATATGTTTTTCAACTGCTTACTTTTGGAAAATCAAAGTATTGAAAACTACGTCACATCTCTGTGAACTATAGGAGCTAACTGTGGTTTTGGTGATCAATTGGGGGATATTAAGAGACCAGACTGCATTGCATCTCACGGATTAGGGACTGCAAGAAAAAATATTGAGAGAAAATTTAATCAATTTATTAAAAGTAGTCAAGTTTGTGAGAGCAAATGTGAGCTACAATACACTTTATAAAATCTTGGAATGGAAGGGTATGCCTGCTGGACTTATTGGTTACTTGAAGGGGCTTTATAGGAAATGTTACACCCGCATTACAGATAATAAGCAGCAGACTGATTCTATTGTATGCGGAAGAGGTATAAGGCAGGGCGACCCATTGTCCCCTAGTCTCTTTAAAATGGCAATGGATAGGGTAATCCATTCCCTTCCAGATGGAATAGGCTACAATATGGGAGGTACAATGGTAAACTGCCTGGAAAAACTTTAGTTTTTCACTAGTCAAAGCCGTCAAATCTAATGTGATGAAGGCCGAAAACAAATATCATTTCGCAGTAAATGGTGCTAGAATCAAGCAGTTAGGCATCTTGGACTGCTGGAAATACCTAGACCTGGGCAGAATTTATTTGAAAAATATTCCCGGAATAAATCCCTAAATAAACCTCGATAGTTATTTCCGAAATAATTTATTTCATGAAATAACCTGACCATTATTTCCGAAATGATTATTTCGGGAATAAATTATTTCAGGAATAACGATATCTGAAATGATTATTTCAGGAATAATGTGAAATCTGAAATAATCATTCCGATCGACTTTTAGATATAATCAATATCCGGGTCGACTGTTATGTTTTCGGGGTAGCTTATTATGAAAATACGGTCGAATTTGAGATTGCGCCACCCCCTCCCCGCCCCCCATCGACTTTTTGTAACTTTTCAGATATAATCGATATCAGGGTCGACTATTATGTTTACGGGGGCGCTAGTTATAAAAATAATGTCGAATTTGATATTGCACCACCCCTCCCACCCCCCATCGACTTTTTGTAACTTTTCAGATATAATCGATATCAGGGTCGACTATTATGTTTCGGGGGCGCTAGTTATAAAAATACTGTCGAATTTGATATTGCACCACCCCCTCCCCACCCCCATCGACGTTTTGTAACTTTTCTGAAATAATCGATATCAGGGTCGACTATTATGTCTTCGGGGGCGCTAATTATAAAAATAATGTCGAATTCGATATTGCACCACCCCCTCCCCACCCCCCATCGACTTTTTGTAACTTTTCAGATATAATCGATATCAGGGTCGACTATTATGTTTTCGGGGGCGCTTTTTATGAAAATACTGTCGAATTTGATATTGCACCACCCCCTCCCCACCCCCCATCGACTTTTTGTAACTTTTCAGATATAATCGATATCAGAGTCGACTATTATGTTTACGGGGGCGCTAATTATAAAAATAATGTCAAATTTATGATTGCGCCCCACCCCCTCCCATCCCCCATCGACTTTTTGTAACTTTTCAGATATAATCGATATCAGGGTCGACTTTTATGTTTACGGGGGCGCTAGTTATAAAAATAATGTCGAATTTGAGATTGCGCCCCCCTCCCCACCCCCACATCGACTTTTTGTAACTTTTCTAATATAATCGATATCAGGGTCGAATATTATGTCTTCGGGGGCGCTAATTATAAAAATAATGTCGAATTCGATATTGCACCACCCCCACCCCACCCCCCATCGACTTTTTGTAACTTTTCTGAAATAATCGATATCAGGGTCGAATATTATGTCTTCGGGGCGCTAATTATAAAAATAATGTCGAATTCGATATTGCACCACCCCTCCCCACCCCCCATCGACTTTTTGTAACTTTTCAGATATAATCGATATCAGGGTCGACTATTATGTTTCGGGGGCGCTAATTATAAAAATAATGTCGAATTCGATATTGCGCCACCCCCTCCCCACCCCCCATCGACTTTTTGTAACTTTTCAGATATAATCGATATCAGGGTCGACTATTATGTTTTCGGGGGCGCTAATTATAAAAATAATGTCGAATTTGATATTGCGCCACCCCTCCCCACCCCCACATCGACTTTTTGTAACTTTTCTGATATAATCGATATCAGGGTCGAATATTATGTCTTCGGGGGCGCTAATTATAAAAATAATGTCGAATTCGATATTGCACCACCCCCTCCCCACCCCCATCGACTTTTTGTAACTTTTCAGATATAATCGATATCAGGGTCGAATATTATGTCTTCGGGGGCGCTAATTATAAAAATAATGTCGAATTCGATATTGCACCACCCCCTCCCCACCCCCCATCGACTTTTTGTAACTTTTCAGATATAATCGATATCAGGGTCGAATATTATGTCTTCGGGGCGCTAATTATAAAAATAATGTCGAATTCGATATTGCACCACCCCCTCCCCACCCCCATCGACTTTTTGTAACTTTTCTGATATAATCGATATCAGGGTCGAATATTATGTCTTTAGGGGCGCTAATTATAAAAATAATGTCGAATTCGATATTGCACCATCCCCTCCCACCCCCCATCGACTTTTTGTAACTTTTCAGATTCAATCGATACCAGGATCAACTAATATGTTTTCGGGGTAGCTAATTAAGAAAATACGGTAGAATTTGAAAAAGATATCCCAAAAACATAAAAGACCACCCTGATATCGATTACATCGGAGAAGTCACTAAAAGTCGATTGGGGGGGGGGAGGCGCAATCTCAAATTCGACCGAATTTTCGTAATAAGCTACCCCGAAAACATAATAGGCGACCCTGATATCAATTAAATCCGAAAGGTTACTAAAAGTCGATTGGGGGGGGGGCAGGAGGGGGCGCAATCTCAAATTATACCATATTTTCATAATAAGCTACCCCGAAAACATAATAGTCGACCCTGATATCGATTATATCAGAAAAGTTACAAAAAGTCGATGGGGGGTGGGGAGGGGGTGGTGCAATATCAAATTCGACAGTATTTTCATAAAAAGCGCCCCGAAAACATAAAAGTCGACCCTGATATCGATTATATTTGAAAAGTTACAAAAAGTCGATGGGGGGTGGGGAGGGTGGTGCAATATCAAATTCGACTGTATTTTCATAAAAAGCGCCCCCGAAAACATAATAGTCGACCCTGATATGGATAAAATCCGAAAAGTTACAAAAAGTTGATGGGGGGTGGGGAGGGGGTGTATTTTCATTTACAGTATTTACAGTATTTTCATAAAAAGTGCCCCCGAAAACATGGTGCATATTGGTAATTTTTTTATGTTATTTCAGAACAACGTTATTTCTGAAATATTTATTTCTTGATTTTATGCAATAATTTATTTATGAAATAAATAATCCTGAAATAATAGTTATGAAATAATTTATTTCAGAAATAATTCATTTCGAAATAATTTACATTATTCCAAAGAATGTTCAAATAGTGAAATAATTATTTCAGAAATAAATTCAGAGTTATTCCATCGAGATTATTTCATTGACAGTTTGAAATATTATTTCAGAAATAACCGTTATTCCCGAAATAATTCATTCGTGGAATAACCATGTGAATTATTTCAGGGAATAAATTATTTCAAGAGTGCCCAGGTCTAGAAATACCTAGGAGCGAAATTTACGTTGAACAACAAGAATGCAGTAGAGGTTTTCGATGAATGATTATTACTGCTGTACAAAACAGCACCCCTAAAACCTCAACAAAAATTAGTTACCTTAACAACGTATCTCATCCCAAAATTCATTCATTTCCTCACACTGAGTCCATGCAAAATGAATGAGTTGAGAAAGTTGAATATTTCAACGAGTGCGGCAATACGTTCTTGGCTGCGACTGCCTCAAGATACCTCCTACTCAATATTTCCACTCTGCTTGTACTGATGGTGGTTTGGGAGTGATGAGCTTTAGCAGTGCTATACCCTCACTCAAGCTAGCTAGGTTACAACGTATGGACTATTCTGGTTGCCCAGTAGCAAGAGCCGCCTATCACTTCTCCTTTATTACTAAGGAAATGATAAAACTCACAAGCAACCTCACGAAAATGGGCCTCAACTTGGAAAACACTTCGAGTGAAGAAAACGCTGGCCATGAAGTTGTATCGTAGCGTTGATGGTAAGGCATTAAGGGAGTAAAAAAAACTGTCCCCCATCAACTCATTGGTCGACAGACTACGCGGCTCCGGTTACCAGACGGACTTTCATACAAACGGCCAGAATCCACATAAATGTCCTCGCAACCCGAGTGAGATTATCCAGAGGACGTAGGCCCTTTGTGCCGACCTAATATAGAGCTGGCTGTCCTGCAAGCGAAACTGCCAGCCACATTATACTACACTGTCTCACGGTGGCAGAGTGCGGCGACATGATACAGTGGTGAACATGTTGGAAATTGCTCTCCATAAGAAAGGATACAGGGTCACAAAGGAA